TTTATATTTGGGGGGTGAGTCGGATGACTCTGTCTGCCAGCAGACCATGCAAAAGATACTGATTTGTGTTTTTTTTTTTGGGGGGGGGGGGGGCAGGAAGAAACCGCCAAGTCTCCTGTGGACCAAGTAATTACTTACCTTGCCTGCTTTCAACACATGGTTGGTAACCAGAGCTAGCCATTTTTTGTTTTAATGCATCGAGTTTTGCCATAATATAAATTATGATGCCACAAGGCATGCAGTGGGCTTATTTTGTTCCATATTCTTGGTTTTTTGCCCCAAATTTCTTAATGTGGTCACTCATGGCTGCTTTAACCAGATGTTTGCTATAGGTATCATGGTTTGCTGGCCGGCAAATGACTGTACTGTATGTATACACTATATTTTTAACACAGGGATTTTCTTAGCTGCATAGCAATTATAACATGAGTTAAATATTGGTATGTAACAAATAGTTAGACCACTCCATTTAAAATGTAAAGCCGACATCTCAAACTTTGTCATTAAATATGAATAAACAAGCCCACATGGATGCATTTGCTGCAGCTGAAAAGGCAAGCAGCAATATTGACATGGTCATCTAAAAGTTGTGTTATTTTGGGAGAAGAGATTGTTTTGTGGAGCATACCTATCATTGCCCTTCACATAGGCTAACCATGACAATCAAAATAAGTTGTTCAAAGTGATTTAAAGTGTTTTGATTTGCATGTTGTCAACTATGTCTGATGTCAACAAACATGCTCAAATGACCGGAATAAAAATGCAAGTTGAAACCAGCCAAAAACTAGCTTTAGATATCATGTTTTTATCACAAGTGCTGCTGTCAACAGATGGGTGAGTTGAGATGATGTTCATCATATGGGCTACTCTAAGTTAGGTTGAGTTGGTCACGTGCATGGCAAGTGGTAATAGGAATTGTACAAGAATCAGTAACTCACAACTGCTGCTGTGATACAAACTGGTCATACAGGATGAGATGATGTAAGGCCTCTTTAGGTTAGGCATAGGCCACTGTGATGGAAATAAGCATAGGTATTTTGTGAGAAACAGTGACAAAATGTTTGTTTTCCCTGACACCACCTTAACAGAAGCCAGAAGTATGTCTGTTGTGTTTGACTCGGTGATGGGCTGATGTGTATTAGTCCAATGTTTTTTTGTTTGAGTGTTTTATGCTTGTTGAATTTTCTGTTGTTATATTGTTATTGAATTCCTTTGCTTTGTTTTGTTTTAAAAGTGCTGTGGAAGGAAATTGAAAGGTGCAGCATCATATTATTGGTGTTAATAATTTGTTATGCTCATTACACTGTCACGAAATTACTATGTTTTAACACGTGCCCGGTTGGCCAGCTAGACACCCTCCGCTCGGGTGTGGGGGGGGGGGGGGAGAGCCAATTTGAACCCCCGTTTGAGATCTCGTAAACTAAGAAAGCTAGAGACACCGAATTTACAGGGTGTCTAGACCGCGAACGCACTTAGGTTATGGTTTCAGCTTCCTAGGTAATGATGATCTTCAGGTCGAATAAGGTCGAACAAGGTCAAACTCCAGGATGGTCTCCAAAGCGCCCCAAGAACCTAGACAACTGTCTCTAAGCAAAAGTTCACAAGCCCGTTAGAGGTCATTGACCTTGTTTGACCCTTTAAAGGTCATGGTGACCAAAATGATACAAGACTGCTCTGCATTTTCATTTGAATAAGCGACAAAGATTACGCTAGGCAGTATGTTCCTAAAAAAAACGTTCGACCGGGGTCGTCTTAGGTCAATTGCCTGTTCTGATCTCTAAGAAGTCAATTGAAAATATATAATGCAGTTCCTGCTGCCAATAAATTCGAAATGAACACCAGAGACTATCCCATACAGCAAGCCCTAGATTAATAAATCAGGTTGGTTTTGACCTAAGTCTGACCATCATACCTGACCTTAGGTCAACGTAATTTGCTCATTCAATATTTGTGGTGCCTAAGAAAGCATCTCAGAGATGTATGTCTTCGTCAAACACTCCGTTGTTGTATCAGATTGAACGATTCCCTAGAAATTGCCTTCTTGGACACCATGGGCTGACTTTGACCTGTCATAGGTCAGCGACCTTACAAGGTACATCTAAAATTTGTATGTCAAACGATCCGATATGCAATTTTCTACAGCTATGCAAAATGTGGCGCGGCTACGCCGCGCCCTTCAAAGACCATTCGGGAAAAAGCCTTCGGGGGGGGGGGGGGGTCAATTTGCCCCCCACCCGAGCGCGTATTAATGTATTCTGTTTCACTTTAATGGCCTAAGATGTTAAAAAACGAAATAGTTTTGTCAGGTTTCTGATATTACGTCCATGCCAACTTGAAACAGATGTCTTTGTTTGCTGGAGCATCCATCATGGCTCATAAGTTCCGTCTTTTGTGAATTGATTTTTTCACTCCGGCACGGTCTTTTTTGCGATATAATTTTTCACTCCTACCCTAGTTCAAAAGCGATTCTAGCTCCCTGGTTTTGAGTTTACCTTCTTTCCCCCCTTTGCCTTCAGAGCAGACGCCCATCCCCAATCTGGCTTACCGCCGGCCATGACACAGTGCCCATGAAGTGGTGTTCGGATGTGCGGCTCCTACTCTGATGTTACCATCAACTATCACAGCCTTAAGTTGAGTGCCTCTTCCCATTCCCATCTCAGTTCAATTTCTTCCCGTCTCATTTTAAGGGATAGCTCGACTTTGTACGAAAACGGTCTTTTGATCCTTCACTGCTACTTGCGCTAGCATGATGCCTATCTTTTCATTGAACTCCAACATGAACTGTCAGAGCCAATGTTCGAGACCCGTGAAGTTTCGTTCCTGTTCCCCGTATTTTACGATACACCTCATCAATCATCGTCATTCACCTTTTCATAGCTTCTCTTGGCAGTTCAATTCCCTTCCTATCTATGCTACGTCGCATTCCTCCCAAATTTAGAGACAATTCCGCCCAACCCACCCAAGCTGCTCGCAAACGTAAGAGCTACCGAATCAACGCCCGCTTTTTTGTCAGAGCGATTTTCAATCTGGTAGCGCTTTCTCTACATGCTGACGGGCTGACAAAGAATCCTAGCAGCATCGTCAGCTGGCGCGTGACGTCACAGACCAAGTAACCTTCTGGTCAATTGACGTGACGTAGGGAGAATAACGGGCCGTGGTTGGTGCTGACAAACGTGTTGACGGATCGAACGCGGCCTTGACTTTAACGCGAAACCCCACGACCTAGAAAATCCCGAACTTTCCGTTTGTCTTGAAAATTTCTGTAAGCGAACAACGCCCAAGGTGACGAGAGCACCTCTTGAGTTATCTCGGAACATAAAAAACTATGATCTCTTGATGTCACCACGTCAGATCGTGTTTTGTCGTGTTCAGATATAACGAGTGCTGGTTGGTAAGCAGGGTGGCCTAACCTAACCGGTTGAAATCGATATCACTACGTTTGGGTTGAACGGCTGCACATTTAAGTCAAGGTTTTAAGGTGAAAAAGAAGGGCGACTGAACTTGGGTTTAGGTCACACTAGGTCATCTGATGACCTTCCGCGGGCAAATAAATAGGATCCATTTCAAGATAGCACATGTAACGCGGAGTCCATTGGGGTCACTTGCTTGATCGAATGAAGCATGTTTCCCAAGACAACTTAGATATGTCAGGAAATGATCAATTTCTGGGGCAATACATTATGTCCCGTTAAATTTAATACAGAACTCAACTACCTGAAAGATTCCGGCTCCCTTGCCTTTCTCAAAAAAACGCCACAAGTGTGGAACAACTCAGATAATGAAGGCATTCCTTCTCCTTTCACGTAACATGAAAAACTGTGACCTATAGACGTCACCACATTCCAGATCAATATTTGTCATACACAAATATAACGCATGATGAGGCATCAACAAGAGAATGTAACACTGTTAACACTAACACTAGCTAACACTGTTAAAACCGAGCTGGCCCTGATTTCAATGAATTTTGAAATTTGCAACAATTGAATTTAAGATTCGGGTGAAGAAGTGAGGCGACTCAAGTAGAGTTCAGGTCATGTCAGGTGACGGGATGAACTTTCACAGGCAAGTATAAAAGTAACAGTAAAAGTACAGCAAGTACACATTCCAGACCGAAAATGTAATGACGAGTCGAATAACGCTAACTGTTCGATCGTATGAGACCTGCTTCAAAAAATAAACTCATCAATGTCTGAAATAATCAGGTATGACGAATGCATTAATCGCTCTTGACGCCGACACGGATCTTAACGATCTGGAAAGTCCCGAACCTTTCGAATTCTATCAAAGCTTCAGCATGTGTACAACATTCTAAACAATAAGGGCATCTCACGACTTTCGACAGGGCATTAAAAACCGTGACCTCCAGACGTCGCCGCGTACGGTATTCCAGATGAACAAGTATTCCACATAGATATTCCATATAGATATAGATATTCCACATAGATATTCCACATGAACGAATATAATACGGGATACTGGTTAGTATCGTCAACTGCCATGTTGAATTCGGACAGCTGGTATTTATGCTATCGCATGTGAACGGTGTGACTTCATTCGCGTGGTTTTCCATCACAAGCGGATTTGGTGAGGCAATATGTTGGGTTGAGGCTGTTCTGCGATGGCACTACGCCTGCTCAGTTAAAGTCATCGACTGCTCGAAGCTCGAAGCGACTGCTCGAAGAAATGGTTAGACAAGGCATCATCGCCCCCTTGGGTGACGAGCCATCAGATTGGTGCCATCCACTGGCGCTGGTCACAAAGTCTAATGGAGGAGTGCGGATATGCGTTGACCTCACCAAGCTCAACAAGTTTGTAGGAAGGCCTCTGCAACCAACCTCTAGTCCAAGAGAGGCCGTCTCTGGTATCCCCGTAAACGCGAACATCTTCTCCACGTTGGATGCCAAGTCAGGATATTGGCAGCTCCCTCTTCAAGAAGGCAGCCAACACCTCACAACGTTCACCGCGCCCTGGGGCGCATAAAGTTCCTCCGAGCGCCCATGGGCCTGGTCTCAACAGGGGACGAGTACTGCCGACGTGGAGATCAGGCTCTCCAGGATCTGGACCACGTCGTCAAGGTGGTCGACGACATACTTGTTTACAATGAGGCAATCGAAGACCACGTAGACTGTTTACGAGCTGTTGTCACACAATGCCGCCAATATGGCATCACGATCAACGAGAAGAAGTTCTGCTGCGCACAGGAAGAAGTCTTCTTCTGTGGCTTCAGCCTGTCTTCGGTCGGGAAGGAGATCAACTCGGGCAAGATCACAGCCATCACCAACTTCGCAACGCCAACCAACATCACCGTGCTGAAGTCTTTCATGGGGCTCGCTCAGCAGTTCGGAAACTTCTCCATCGATATATCATCCGCTGCAGACGCGCTTCGTGGTTTACTGAAACCTTGACACGCTTTCGTGTGGACACGGGATCACAAGACAGCCTTCAACGACGTCAAGAAGGCTCAGGCATCACCGCCTGTGCTGGCTCATTGCGATCCGCATCTTCCGACGGTTTTTCAGACCGACGCTGCTCGTCTGAAAGGGCTCAGATACGTCCTGCTACGACAGCACGGCGATCGCTGGCGCCTAGTCCAATGTAGGTCCAGGTTTCTCTCTGACACCGGGCCACGCTACGCAACGGTGGAGTTGAAGCTCCTGGCAGTGGTGTGGGCACTGAAGAAATGCCGCATGTTTTTGCAGGGCCTGCAACACTTCAGAGTCATCATCGACCACCGGCCCTCGATACCGATCTTGAACGACTACACCCTGGATGCCGTCGAAAACCCACGTCTCCAACGTCTGAAGAAGACCAGTCTCTACAACTTCACAGCCATCTGGCAAAAAGGCAAAGACCATGCCATCCCCGATGCACTGTCACGTGCTCCTGCTGAAGAACCGACGCCTGAGGACAACCAGCTCGTCTAGTCTGTAGAGCACCATGTCCATTGCTCGTGGTTTCCCATCCTCCCAGGAGATGCTGCCACGGTCCTTACTCCCATTCTGGGACGTTCGCCACGAACTTTCGTCCCACGACGGCCTAGTTCTGAAAGGCTGCCGCATCCTCATTCCGCGTGGTTCCCGGAAGGTCACCATGGAAGCACTTCACGACGCTCACCAGGGTATCGAGCGCACCAAACGACGAGCACGCCAAACTGTCTGGTGGCCCGGCGTGAACAGCGACATCGCCAACACTGTGGGCAATTGCAGTACCTGCGAAGAGCTCCGTCCAAGTTTGCCTCAGGAACCGATGGCCACCGACACGCTGCCATCGAGGATTTTTGAAGATGTCCCTTCCGACTGCTTCTCTCACGGTGGCAGAGACTTCTTCGTCTACGTGGATAGGCTGTCTGGCTGGCCAGTTGTCTATCAACTCCCACGGGGTGACACAACAAGCCGTCAGATCATCAGAGCCCTCCGAGACGTCTTCGTCAGTCTTGGAGTCCCCGTCAGACTCAGGACAGATTGAGGACATCAGTACAAGAGCCGTGAAGTCGCCAACTTCCTGAAGCGTTGGGGAGTACTGCATGTCATGTCGACTCCGTATTACCCACAATCCAATGGGCATGCGGAGGCGGCAGTATAGGCCATGAAGCACCTGGTGTCGAAGACGGTGACTGATGGCTCTACCGACAACGACAACTTTTACCGAGGACTCCTGGAACTGCGAAACACGCCTCGAGCCGATGGACATGCTCTGGCTCAAGTGGTCTTCGGCCATACCATCGGCTCCTGTGTTCCCGCTCATCACAGCGCCTTCGCTGCTGAGTGGTTGGAGCAAGCAGAGGAATGTGACTCCAGGGCAGCAGCGTCTCTCCGCCGTGCACAACGAATCGGTGTCAAATCAAGTCTACCGTGATTTTGGCCAGATACTGCTGTAGTGCAAACATTTGCCTGCTTGTTCAAGACTAATTCGAAGTATTCCACGAAAATCATACCAGCTGGACACCCCACATAAGTCTAACACAACAGACGGCACGGGATGCATGAGGTCAGCGTTCGGTGCTCAGAGGAACCGTCGCCGGTGATCCCATGGCGACACAGGCCAGACGACCACTGATGTCATATTGGGAGCATTCGGCGGCAAATGCCTGTCCCTTTGACCAGATGCGGTAAGAGAAGCCCTCCTGGGTATGGCTATCTGCGGCCACGCCAGGCTGATCGTCACACGACGACCCGAATTTGATGCTGCCGTTAAAGGAACCCAAACAGTCGCCCAGTGCTGCAGCCTTGCAAAAAGAGCTTTACCACTGTACCAGGTGTATTACTCTGCGGTTTACATAGGGGGGTAGGCCCTTCTCCGACCTTGGCTCGAGGGGGGGGGGGGCGATAACTGATGATGGCCACTGTTCGCGGAGATCGAGCTGCAACATCTCCTCCAATGATATGTGAGCTTTGCGGTCAGCGTGGGCGTGGCTTCACAGTCAGCACCGCTCCAGCCAATATAAAGCTGGTCGGCCCATGACCACAGGCATCACAGAAACCAGCGAGTTCAGCCATGAAAGTCCTGGTGAGTCCTCTGCTTACGATGCTTGCCGAAGATGTGCATTACATTATGCTGTTTAACTTTATCGGGAGAAACGGTATATTGAGCCACGCATCAGATATCGTATACACAACTCGCTTGTAACTGTTCGCATGCTTTTAACTGCAAATGGCTGCTGTAGATCACAATTTCGCCGATAAGGATATATGTGCCTTAAAACGTTGTCATTGGATTAAGTCATGGGACGTTTTTAGGACGCTAGAGTCGATGCCACATCTGCCGTGTCAGAGTTGTCGCTGTAATGAACTGCGTGACTCACTTGGGATACTTGCACGCGCCACAAGGTGGTGTTGCTGATCCATGCGTGTGACCTTGATAAGCAAATCTTGTGTACGTTTTTTTGTCCCTTTCTCTTGGTTTTCTTGGGTATTTTCCGTGATACCATCTTCCGTACCTGCTCTTGCCTTTTTGGCTGCGGCACTTTTCTTAAATTACTTGATACTTAGCCTCATGTTCGTCATATCTAGCCGTTGGTCCTCGTTTTTGTTTTATCCGGGAACAGGCTGCACGTGCCAGTCACGAGTGGGTCGAAGGGCCCCTGGTGGGGGCCCCGTCCGAGCGGCAGACACATGCCTCTAAAAGGGTTCCTGTACGGGCTAAATCTTGGAGTTTGGATCCCCAGATGCATATGGTCCTGCCCCACCGATATCCATCCTTCTGCATCTCACAGCCCTAAAATGGCCTTTACTGGCCGAAAAGGCTCTAATCCAACTAACAAAGTAACCGAAGTTGCCGAGCCATACAACTAGCAGCGCAATGTGCTAGTCAATTGCCGCTCATCGTTTGGACATTTGGCGCTGCATAACTGCAAAACACGAGTGGTTAAACAGCCGCATTGTCTTGGCCATGGGTACAGCACGGTGAATGCCGTGTGGTTTTCGCGTGACTTTCTATGATCTTGCACATGCCGGGTAAGAGTACCATAGGCGGTGGGTAATGGGGTACGCAAGTCCACGTGCATTAAGTTCGGAAGCAAGATGATTCGAAGTCTTAAAAAGGACGCGGCTGGAACAGCAGGGAATATGATGGGTAGCAACAAATGGGTAGCTCAGTTCAAAACCACTTACAAACTTGGAATAGTACCTTTAACAGAAGTGACTTTCAGTTGCAAAGATATATCGCTAAATCCTTTCTTTTATTAGGTCAATGTCACCGTTATCTGTCCGTGCGTTCCTTGCCATCTTGCAGATGACAAAGCGATTCCCTCGTTCAGGTCGGCATCATTGACTTAAAAAAAAATCCGTCAGGTTTTTTCTGCGATATATTTTCAGCAGCAACGTCCTATTTATGGCATTGCCCTTTTCTTTCAATTATTTTTAAAAGCAAATGTTAGGTCCACCTTGTCTGTTTCAGGTGGTCATGTGCGTTGTCCTGGCCGTTGCGGCTGCCGGCCACCACTCGCACACCGCTGGCGAGCCGAAGAACCAGGGACAGCCGGACGCGCTCCAATACTGGATGAATTTGCTTTCCCCCTACGCCAGATATACTAGTGCTTTCTTGAGAAACATCCCTGGCTTCGCCCCGGGCGGTGACCACCATCAAGCCTACGGTCAAAACGCCAATTACGACGCCAGCGTCCTCTTCACTCCTGTTGTTGGCTCGTTTAGCTACTTGGACCTCCGTGGTGTGAACCGGACGGTCAATTTCTCTGCGGACAGGTCTGGCTTCCACATAACTGTGGACCCCCACACGGAGGTGACCACCAGCTATGAAAACAACCACGACTAGCGCGGCGCTCTCTGAGCAAGCCCGCCTGTAAGACGGGGCCGCTCTGGGTAATGGTAAAGTACCTGCCCTGCCAAGTACCTGCCCTTCGGTGTCCACTGCTTCCGGCGCTCCCGTCACGTTCCAGGGCACGCACGGCCCGGAGGGCGTATTTTACTCGTAGCGCTCTATTCACCCCGACCCTTTCCTTACCTTCGCCTGTTTTGGTAAGCGTTCTGTGCGCTGCTCACTTGCGGGCAAATGCGAAATTTGCATCTCTGACTCGCTCCCAAACGTTCTGGTTGTGTTCATTTGCCGTTACAACCAGAGGCCAAGAGTGTTTGGTGCATTCTCTCAGCTTGATGCCATGGTCCGTATTTACAGCTTACCGAGCTCGGTTGGAACGAGTGGTATAAAGATGTGGATCATTTTTGACGCCATACAAAATATACTAGGCAGCAGTAGCATGGTTTAATTACTGGAGGGTTTGGGTGGGGTATGAGTGGGGATAGGGGTGCGGGCAAGGGTCGAAGAAACGCGTCCTAAGTTTCGCATGATAGGGTTGTGTCTCCTACATTTTTGCCCGTGCACTGCATATTTTCACCTACTCCCACTCAAGATACCGTTTTTGGATCAGGCTGTCCCCGGATTCCAGTTTGACCGTCCAGTCTCAGAGAGATGGCCGCATCCATGCTCGAGAGCGCTGTAATACCGCTTGTATAAACACTGAAAGCATTTTCACTGCACATCGCAAACAGCTGTTTAGCATCTACATATGGTGTCAAAACGAATGGTCTTTTCGAAATCACTTTCGGAAATATCTGGTGGAGGGCTCACCGTTGGACGTCAAACGCTTCCGTAGATATCCGGCTATGAAACTCCTCGAGCGAAGAGCTCCCAGCATCGAACGGAAATTAGATCATGCGCTTTTCACAAAACGGCATACATCGAATTCACCTGTGGAGTGAACGACTTCACGAGTTCACTCCAATAAGGAGTGAACGACGGCCAAAAAGAGCTAATTGTGATATGGAGAGACGCGAGCGTGCAAAGCACGGAGTCCTGTCACTCGCGCAAAAGTGGGATGAGCTTGTGACGCATACCATTTCAGTGCCCAACACGGGATGGGTGCGACACGATCTCGACCCGACACCAAGTGACTGTGGTCAGGCCACATGTCGGTGCAGTTCTGACATAGCAGTACTGGTCGCGGCACCGTAACGGCATCCACCAGCCTGAACACGCACGTTTTGGATGGATGTCGGGAGAAAAACACCACTACAGCTCTATGTACAGACAACTCCACTGCAAGGCCGGTCATGACAAGACAGGGAGATCGCTGCCGGCGAGAAACGAACGAAAGACGTCCAACAGGGCCGAGCGCTGTATTCCAAGCATCCCACAGTCTGACAGCGTTCGTGACAGGGAATGTGACATGTGACAACGTGACATGGCTTTATCCGGGCGATGACGCATTGAGGAGTAGATGCATTCATTGCAACAGAGCAGATGCCTTCCTTAATATCTGAAAGTGTAGAATAGTCTCTTCAGTACTGGAAATGCAGTATCTCTATATAACAAGAAAAACTGAAGAGTATGGTTAGAACACAGGCCTGCATCTCACCAATCGGAGGGATATGGATACATTCACGGTATCAACACACTTTAACGTAGAAAACGGACGGCCATTTGGACAATTGGAGGCCGGCGTGTTCAATCGATCAAGCTAACTCTGGCATAACGATCTACCAGTTATGGAGCGTTTGGTGAAGAATATCGCTAACCAGTGTCTCTGGTTAGCGAGGTGCTACATATTCTACCTTTCTTCACATTCTATTCCCGTAACTAAGGGTTCGCCAAATGTACTAGCTGCAATCGGAAATGAGGTGCGATCGCGTGCCAGGGAAATAATGTGGTTATTGGCCAATGACAAGCAAGTACGACATCATACGATGAGCGAATAAGCCAATCACACACAGCGAGATCGCGTTTCGATCCGGGAACTCTCTGATGCAACAGACGGCTGGTGAGGCACAGAGGGCTTCTTTTTAAAGGAAGCATCATGTCACACTAAGGATGGTATGCATAGTTTAGGTTCCGACGGAACAGATGGCGCATGGTGGATGATCTGCTACCCAGGAGGGTTAGATACCTCCTACTGCCTATCCTGTCCCAAGACTTTCGAGCATTCTAGAGATTGTATGCCTGACGACATGTGGAGGTTGGAGAAAATTACGGGGATGGTACTGCTGTGAAACAGCTATTGTTACAACTTGGATAATTATGACCACCACTTGTAGACATTGTACAATATACCGGTCGAGCTTCATTTGGTTAAACTAAGCCCATTCCCGTAGACGTATGCTACCCTTGTACGGTGTGCGGGCATCCCTGAAAATGGAATAAGTAATTCCGAAACGTCAGGCCAGTTGATAGACGTCAAACATCGGCGAGTTACTTTTAATTCTAGGTGATCAACAGAAGGCCGAGATACGAAAACTTGAGCAAGCGCAAACAAACGCGTTAGCTGCACTTACGCCAAGGTCTTCAACAACACTCGCGTAGAAGAGAATGTGCTGCCCAATTACGTTTATCTTAAACTTCATCACCAAGCAGCAAACCATCAGTCATTGACGAAAGGGTATCGTCCGGCTGTCGCGAAAAGGCAGTTAGAACAAATCAATCTCTCGAACTCAAAAAACAATCTCGCAACATCACTTAGAGAACAGGTGGGCAAACTAACAACACATTTAAGCGATTGAATATTGATGGTAACCTAAAATTATCCATCGGAGCTTAAGGATCTCGTTCAGCCAATTGAGAATGGCGCGAAACAAGTAAATATTTCGAGAAGTTGAGCAGCGTGTATGGCGGATCTGCAGTTCCTCCTGAGAAGAAGGCAGGCTCTATCAACCTATCGGAACATACAAATGCTTACCGATAAGCATGAGCAGCTTGAAGATAAAGGGAGAGATGTATTGAACTAGGGTGTAAGTTGCCAGCTACGGTCCGACTGCAGCGCAATAGACAAGACTGCAGAGTTGGAGGTATTGCAAGCGTTTTCACACCCGTTTTTCTGCGCTTTCCGTTTCATAGGTATGCATAGACACAATTTGTGGTTTGATTCAGTTCTAGCTGCCCTGGGTGCCGAGATATGACACGAAGGGTGAAAAACGTTCGGAGGGGCAAAAGTCATCTTGCCAGCTCGTGTGCGCATTACACGCGGCACCGTAAACTTGGCACCACCCGCCTGATTCTTTATCAAAGCATGTAACTTCCGAGTGGCTTCGTGTCCCGGATGTCGAGATGTGGCACAAAGCGTGAACACCGTCGAAAACGGTACAGTCAATTTTGCCAGCTGGTGCGCACGTAACACATGCAACCGCTAACTTGGCACCACGAAATTTCCCGGTACATTCCCCGAAGAAATATTCCCCTTCCCGAGTCGCTCCTTGTCCTGGGTGCCGAGATGTGGCACAAAGCATGGAAACGGTCGAAAACGGCAAAATCGATCTTGCCAGGTCGCGTGGGCGTGACGCGTGGCCCGTGCCACCGCACACGTGGCACAACGCGATTGGCTGTTTGATATCCTGTGGAAGCATGACATTACAGAGTCGTCCCGTGCCCCGGGGCGCCGAGATGTGACAAAACGTGAAAACAGTCAAAAACCACAGATCCCATTGTGCCAACTCGTGACACATGGTACGTGCGACCGCACGCTTGACGCCATGCGTTTGTCCGTTCGATGCCCCGTCGACGTGTGCCGCTCTCGAATCGTTTCGACCCGCCGTTGTCGAGATCCGGTCCGGGATCGCGCATCGCTCGTGATCGAGGCATACTCGTAGTAAAGTAACTCTTCGAAGACGGAAAACTCCATCTTGCCAGCCTGGTTGCGCGTGACATATGGAACGCACCACCGCACACTTGGTACCACGGGATTGCCCATTTGACTCCCTGTCGAAACGAATAAATTTCATGTCGTTCCGGCCTGTTGCGAGTCAGGAGCGCCCAACGATATCTCCACAACGACGGTCGTTGTTGAGATATCGGTGCGGGATCGCGTATTCGGTAATCTACAGCGAAATGGTGGCAGCCAGCCGCACTCGAACACGGCCGTTTCACACCGTAGCAACTCATCGGCGGCAGCCGAGAGATCGGCCGGTTTTATTACGACCTTGCGTACTGTAAGCATACTGCAACCATTCGCCTAAAGTTAATTTTCGAACGATGTCACACAAAACGTAACGAGCAGAAGGGCGGTAGCAGGAGAAGAAATCGGGGAACAGGTTGGTGTGGGTTTTTATGGTCAAGATGTTTACAGATTTGAAGGTAGGGCATTGCATTCGGCGGGTTGTTTTTTCGCGAAACCGGTTTTGCTAATCGTCCCGGCGATGCGGGGAGCTAACCGTGCGTCGCATAAAGCCGTGATGCACACTGAAATGAATAGGGCGGCAAATTGGTGAATTTTGTGAGACTAAATTCACGCCACTCATTTCACTCACTTTTCATCAACTCACGTCATTCATGCGATAGGTACTGAATGTACCCCAATGTATGAAAATGGTCAAGAGCGGCCGATTCATCGTTAAGTTCTGTAGGCGTGGCACGACCTACTGCACATTTTGTGCCACGTGATTCCCTATTCGACATCCTGTCGAAGTGTGCAAATTTCATGTTGCTCCGCCTCGCTGTTGGACCCGACTCGAGATATGACTCCGGGATTAAACGCCGTGCTCGCGGTTTGGCGGTCCCTGACAAATTGGTTTCGGTCATGTTCAACTTATGGAAATTTTGCGAATTTAATTCAGTCGTCACATACTCATTGTCCGAAGCGTAAAGCCGTCACGTGACACGGCGAACCGTCGGCGGCAGGCCGTGGTAATGTGAAAATTGGGCGCCAAAACTCGCCACAGTTTGAGCTGCACACACGCGCGCACACACACACACACACACACACACACACACACACACCACACACACACACACACACACACACACACACACACACACACACACACACACACACACACACACACACACACACACACACACACACACACACCACACACCACAACCACACAACACACACACACACACAACACACACACACACACCACACACACACACACACACACACCACCACACACACACACACACCACACACACACACACACACACACACACACACACACACACCACACACACACACACACACACACACACACACACACACACACACACACACACGCTTCCTTTATGGTAATAGATATATCAAGACATTTCCGTATATGCGGTAGCGATGAGCTGAGGAGAGCAC